CCAACCCGCCTTGGTGCGATCTTTTCACGGACCGAAACAGCGCGCGTCACGCTGCTAATCGAAGAATTGTGGCAAACCTCTACTCCGTGACAACTCTCAAAGACATGGAGCCAGAAGTGGAAGACTGCATCAGACAGTTTGTGTCTCGCCTTACACACCTGTCAAAGTCGGGTGGGATTCTTGACTTGCAATTCTGGATGCAATGCTACGCATTTGATGTCATCAGTCAAATCACTGTGGGTTTTCGTATTTCCTGGAGACTGTCTGGAATTGTTTTGACTTTCTTGTTCACATACAGCTTGGAAAACGATTTGGGTTTCTTGATTCTGGGAAGGACAATCTGGGCATGTTCAAGAGCCTTCACGCTTATCTCAAGTACTGCGCGCTTGTTGGTATTGAGCATGAACTTCACCGCCCCCTTTGGTGGCTTATTACCAAACTGCCTGCAGCCGGGTTGATGCACGTTGCGAATTTCACCACTCGCGAACTCGAAAACGGAAGACAGGTTTATGACAGCGAACGGCTCGACAAAAGTGCCGTGCGGAAAGACTTCATGTCAAAATTATTTCGTCTACAAGATGAGAATCCGGACAAATTTCCTTCCAGCGCGATTTTCGCCACTTGCATGACCAACATTGGAGCCGGCTCTGATACTACATCAATCTCCCTTTGCGCTATTTTGTACGACCTCATAACCAACCCAAACGTTCTGGACAAGGTGTGTTATTCTCAGCAAACATTGGTAGAATTTCAGTTGTGAAGGCCATGCTAAAAGTAGTCTAGTTGCGCCAGGAAATAGATGCCACATTCGCAGAACTTGGGGATCCGGAATTCATCCCATTCAAAGCTGCGCAGGCATTATGCTATCTACAAGCCTGCGTAAAGGAGTCATTGAGGTTACACCCTGCAACCGGGCTTCCTCTAGCGCGTGTCGTCCCAACAGGTGGATCAACTCTCGCTGGAACGCATTTCCCTGAAGGAGTAAGTACAAACAAGTTCCAGGTCATTGAACCATTCGTGTCTGCTAAAATGAGAAACGCAGTCTGTAGTTGGCGTGAACACGTGGGTTTTACATCGAAATAGTAGTATATTTGGACTTGATGCCGACCGATACCGTCCTGAGAGATGGCTGGATGACGACAAAGACAAGCTTCCTTTGATGGAAGCTAATTGGATCCCGGTACGTCAACATATTTTTTCGATACGCCAGTATTTGGGTAGGAGCAGCGCAGCTACTGACCTTCGCTTCCGATAGTTTGGAACAGGCTCCAGAACTTGCATTGGCAAGAATGTTAGCCTGCTCGAGATTAACAAACTGATCCCTGTTTTGGTGAAGAGGTTCAACTTTAGTTGTGTGAATTCCCAGACTGCAAGGCATGAGAACTACTGGCTGGTCAAACAGGTTGGCATTCATTGCAAGGTGTCGTCAAGAGCTGCCGAGGATGCGTAGCATACAACAAGGAAGTCTGTAGCAGAATTATCACTCGATGATGACGAATGTCATCGCTCTCTTGCAATCTATGTTTGCACGTGAATAAGTCAGAGAAGGTCTTCCTTTCTGAAGGACGTGGAGCAACAAAGAATGACTGTAGTGAAAGTCTCAAGGTGGCCTTGGAAATAGGCATGCGAGAGAATAAGCAGATTCAGCTCGCCGACGCCGACGCCGACGCGCAACACTACGCTCCTCCATTCTACACAAGGTATAACACCATGTAAACTTTTGCACAACGTAATGAGAATGACAAGTATCCTATTATTGCCTTTCTATGTATTATTTAAAAGAGACCTCAGGTGGGCATGGAGCATGTGAACTCTTCGCACCCAGCGAAAGGCTTCAAGGTAGTTAAGGCATTTAGCAAACAGGGACCTTGATGACCTGGCCGACCTGGAGGCTCTCAGCAGCGACACCGGGGTTGGCGCCAGTAAGGGAGTCAGTGGTGATTCCAAGGCTCTGAGCAACGACGAAGAATGTGTCGCCAGACTTGATGGTGTAGGTAGCCGGTCCGCCTGTAACGCAGGTAGCCTCCCCAGCGGGGGTGATGCAGGAGGTGTTGTCGGGGTTGCAAACGTCGACGGGGACCAAAAGGACCTGACCAGCAAAGATGACGTTGGGGTTCGCAAGCTTGTTCTGCCACGCAATGTCGCAGATACCAGAGTTGTAGCGCTGCGCGATGGTGGTCAAGGTCTGTCCGGCCTTGACAGTGGTCTTGTGGAAGTTGCCAATCTTGCCGCAAGTGGCAGAGGGAGTCGCGGTGCCGGCAGCGGTAGGAGTGGCTGCCTATGAGCTGGTTAGTTGCTTCTTTTGGATGCAAAGAAGAGTGACATGACGCACAGGAAGAGCAACGACAGCGCTGGCAGCAGCGGCAAGGACAGTGAAGATGGAGAACTGCATTTTGGCGAAAGTTGTTGATTAATTATGTAGTAATTAAGAGGCAGGAAGTATTGAAATGAGTGAATAGATCTAGCAGATCAAAGTTAGAGAATAGTTGTTGGAGGTTTGTGGAAAGAACGACGAAGTTGGTTGGAGAGCCGAAAAAAAGAGGACGTGCTCAATGAGGGATGCGAACGCTGCAAATAAATAAACCATCAACGAGGAGCTGGAACTCGAGCCGCCTCCTGGGAAACTCCGATGATCCCGCGTTGTCTCGCGAGTTCGCGACGCCGGAAATGGCTTCATCAATTTAGGTTCATTTGCGTTCGCCGATATCCGTATTCACCAGTGTTGGAAATGAGCTCACCTCTTTCTAGTGGGGTTTCTTTTCAGTTGCTAACCACGATAAACCTTAGCATGTCGAATTGACTTTCGAGCTGGGTTGTCCTTTTGGGTTGGAGGCCAGCATCCCTGTCGACGAGTCGTGTCAACGCACTCTGTGTGCAGAGTCATGCAGAATTTGAGAATTTCATTTGTCCACCAATCTCACCCTGGACCTGGTTTCACCAGCTGTCTTTCTCCCGCCTTGAACCCAGCCTTACTCTGTCTTTGCAATCATATCATGAACGTGAGTCTGAGCCCCGCGCGCCAAGCGATTAAGTGAGGTTATGGTCGTCTCCGTTTGCGCTAGCCGAACCTCGCCATTACCATATCATCAGAGGCAATTGGTCTTAATAGGATTAAGATCTACCTCAGGAAGCTTATCAACGATACTGAGGACCAGCGGAGTAAATGGGTGCAAATCCCGCACTGACTGGGAGCAGAGAGCCCTGACAATTGGTCACGACACTTCAGCGTGACTCGTACGCCGCGAAAGAAAACTTCCGAGTCCACTCCACACGTGCCAAATGATTGGGACTCTGCTGATATCCCAACATAGGTAGTCAACTGGCTTGAATATTGGACAGTAGCGAGACTCTGAAAGGCAAGGCAGTGAGATCTTATATTTCACAGGTGCCGATGAATGAGCTGGTAACTTGAATACATTAAAAAGGTGTGCTTTGTGTCGATTGTATAATGGAGTTGTCGGAAACCATAACATAGCTCTGGTCAGGCTTGTTTTCGCAATGGCAATCGGAGTTCGCTTCAAGATCAGGAAGACAGATTGCTGTAGGCAAAGTCTTGAAATGCCGGTGCAACAAAATCTCGGTGAGCCCGGTCTTGGTCCGCATGGCTGGTTCTTGGCCGCATCTTCCGAACTGCGCTCCACAGATCCCCGAATCGTCTGCTGCCAAACCGGAGACCGTGTTGGCCCACCTGCACGGGTGGATTTTTCTTTGCCAGACAGCTTCCATTGAGGACGCGTCTAACTACTGACCGAGTGTCAAATGAGTTGATTCTTGCAGTTGATACGCCGGTAGGAATAATGAATACTCTTCATCTTAATCTCACTACTTATTCATCGATCCCGGAAGTCAATCATCTGTGGAAATCCCAGCCTAGTATTTCATCTCCACTACCCACCGCTCATTGTTAATAGATAAAGACTCGACTATCTTACCGCGTACTAGCAATGTAAAAGTGCGGTCTTCTGAATGGGGATTCCCTTAACTAGCAAGTGATGCGCAGAACTGAAACTTATAGCTTGCTCAAGTGCCACAAGCAACAGGCAGTACTCAGTGAAACATCACCCACGCCTTCAAAAGGGTCCAAGAGATCGATAATGTTGAGAACTCTTGGGTTGGTGTTGCAAAGTATGATTACATCTTCTGTCGGTATATGGTCGTCGCTATCGCAGACTGGCCTAAACTCATCCAGAATATTTACCAGTACGTCTTGATTCCTCGTTTGAATGCACAGGCCATGTTCTTTCTCATACTGTTTAGTCATTTGAACCCTGGTGGCTGGGTTGAATTTCAGGAAATGGGTGGTTTGTACTACTCAGAGGACAACACGTACACCGAGGGATTCGCTGTCTTCAAGTGAACAGAAAGTACCTCACGGCATTCGACTCTATGGGACGTACTGCGCGCCCTAGTAGTCAGGTTGAGAGTTGGCTGCGTAGCACAGGGTTCGATAATGTCGAGTCTCAGAAGTTCAAGGCCCCGAGTGGGCAGTGGGCCAAGGATCCGCAACTCAGAGATGTGGGTATGATTTGTCTCAGTCAGCTGCTCGACGGTCTCGAAGGCTTTACTCTTAAGCTCTTTTGTGGATTCTTGGGTAAGACTCAGGTGGAGGTGCTTGTCATGCTCAGCCATGTGCGCAAAGAGTTGAAGTCGGGGGTAGCTCACATCTTGGTCAACCAGTAAGTTGCTGCTCTTCTTGCAGTAACTACATATGGTTGTATAAGTCGAGACTGACCATGGCTCTAGGCACGTCCTTTATGCACAAAAGCCATCGATGGAGGCGAAAGATACTATTGCCTGATGTTTGGGGGTTGGCCGTTGTGGTTCGTGGGCTAAGACTTCAATTTTGCCATCTACAAGTGCTGTTGGCTGTATTCAAGGTTCCATGCAGCTCAATCAGGTCGTTCTCTCGGGCAGTTGATTTTCTTGCTGGGCTTTTCTGCCCAAATTGTCCCGACTCACCCTTCCGCGAATCCAACTTTCTCATGTGATGCTTTTATCTCTTATGTCTTCTTGGCACTGCCCTCGTGTGCGACTCTAACCTCAGGCTCGTCTCCAACCACGCCTGGAGTGTCCTTTTCTCCCACTTCACCGTCCCAGCCCTGGCTGAGTAGATACGCGTGGAACCTGGCGTCCTCTTCTGAGAGATCGTCACCTTTAAGGTTCGGAACGAAGAAGTAAGTCACCAGGACGCCAACAACTCCACATATGGCCGCGATGATGAATGTCCAGCGCTTTCCAAGACTAGCCTGGATTGGTGTGAAAGCCTGTGTTCCGATCGCTGCACCAGCCTTGCCCACTGCAGCAGAGAGACCGTAGCAGGTTCCGCGAACTGCGGTTGCATAGGACTCTGAAGAAAGCAACCCAAGCATATCACCCGGTCCCATGTTGCCAGAACTTTGCATAAGGCCGTAGAAAACTACGAAAAGAGGTAGAATCTTGGTGATTTGGTCGTATGCCACCCCAATTATCAGGCCAAATACAAGATAGCCAGAGAATCCCAGCATCATGACGTTCTTGCGGCCAATTCGATCGCATAAATATGCACCCAGAAGAACACCGGGCAGACCTATAGCGCCGAGAAGGAGTTGGTACTCTGCAGTAGACTTGATGCTGGAGTCTTTGACGACAGATGAGATAATGACACCGGAGAAAACGCCGTTTGGGAAGGTGACAAAGTCGTATAAAAACCATGCACCAGCGGTTCCTATGAGGCGCTTCCAATAGTATCGAATTACCAATCTGTATGGCACATGACGTTTGATTGCTCCGCGACGGTATAATTTGGAGTTCAGCATTTTCAGTCGAAAGTAGAATACTGTCAAAGGCAGAGCGCATCCGATTCCGAAACATACGCGCCAGATTGTCGATAGGTGTTGAGGCCCAGCGGCGGCAGAGAATACAATGAGAAAGATGCTGACTGCCAAAGGCCCGCCAAATGACAGCGGCAAGTTCGTAACGAGGATGAAAATTGGGCCCCGGTTCTTCAGAGAGTGTTCGTTCGCGGCTTCTGACGCAGATGTTGAAGAGGCGGGATACTCTCCACCAGCACCGAAGCCTATGATGCCACGAGCGACAGTCATCATCCAAAACATGCCATCAATGGTGACTCCACTGGCCGCAGTTGCCAGAATCGAGCCCAAAACAATCAAGGCAGTCGTCAAAATGATGGCGAACTTGCGCCCAAGGTAGTCGCAGGTGAGGCCAATAGTAACCTGGCCGATAATTTCACCGATGAGAAGAGAGTTGGAAACCCGAGTGCTGACTACGGACGTGTACTGTTGAGGATATTCCGCCTTGAGGACGACGTTTGTCATAGTCCTATGGAGTTCAGTCAACAAATCAAGCAGTCTTTTCATCCGCATGAAAGCTTACATCAGGTTGTTCTGGTACCCATCGCTAATCAAAGCAAAGCCGGCACAGGCAATAGTGAAAATGTCGCTCCATGACTGCTTTCTAGCAGAAACAAGTTCCGCCGGTGGCTGGCCGTCCGCATCGCTGGCAGCTGCAACAACGTCGGGGACGAGTTCCTTCGTAGGATCATTCGTTGCAGACATTTTGATAGATGGTTGGAAAGCAGAATTCAACATTCAACATCAATGGCAGGGTGAGGATTTCAGTCTTATATGATTACCTAGGCTGTGGAGGTGGGCACACGACGGAGGACCAAAAGGGAAGATACGAACTGAGCCCAATATCTTGAGATGTGACCCTCCAGCCCTGGTGATGCGATTCTTCCCTTGTGATTGGTCTCATTTTTCCTGTCGGACTCCTGCCGATGCGTTGCAGTCAATGTCAGTGATGCTCCAACGGATTCATTGTTGTAGTGGATCTTTCAAATGTCACACGTGGAGAGTCTCCGCGACTCTAATTCGAGACATTCTTGTTCAGGGCCCGCTTCGACGCGCAAACCGTGACGGGAACTACTGCATAGTAATTCCAGCGTGGGGTCACATTCGAAGCCGACTTCCGGGCAGGCCTCAGGAAGCCAAGACGAAACAAGCATTATTCCACGTGCTGCTATTCACTAACCCCACTTTGAAAAGATGCGATTCCTTCGGCACGTTATTGCCGGTCGACTCTCTAGTTAGAATCTCGGGCTGATTACGTCTCGTTGAAGTCAAGCTTACTTCTGCTGAAGAAATCGTTTGGTGTTTCGAGCCAAACTGAGAATTGCAACTACTTTTGCTTTGAGCCCCGCCGAATGGCTGTCTTATGTTTTCCGCCCAGTATATTTGCACTACCAAACTCAGTGTGTAAGTAGGTTGATCGCAGAGGTTTCAACGCTCCGTGGCCACTAATTATTGCGTATTAAATGTGATCCGTACAGATAACTTGAACGAGAGCTTTGATGACACCATACGATATAATATGGACTGGAAGCAGAGAAATTGTGCACCATTTGCGGCGAGTTGTTCATGACCAATCAAAGCTTCTTAAATGTTATTTCAGTCTTCAGAACCCCAGCGCCGAGCGAAACCAACTGTCTACCACTCTACAAAAAGGAACTCTAGTTCTAAACAACCGTCTGTCTATAAACCTGTACCATAATTACAACTTGCTTCTCAGGTTCTTTCTCTCGTCCTTCTTGAACAGCACCTTGCTGTTCGGGTAAGGGTCAAAGGTGACGCTGTTCAACGGGTTATCCTCGCTGGCCCGTTTGAACATGTCCTCGTAAACCTTTCCATCAAATCTGCCAAGACTGCTGTCAAGTACCCAATCGTCGAACTTCCACGCGTCGACCAACCGCACGGCATGAGGTCTGATCTCCTCAAGCAAGGTCATTACAGCCTTGGTTCTCGCAAGGGTGATCTGGCGGACGGTCACAGCCGCCGAGCTGTAGAACTCACTCGCCTCACGCTCGAGGGTTGTCAGGGCATACAATCTGAACAGCTTGTGCAGAAGCCCAACGGTATCCTTGTCCAGCTGATCGGTAGTAGACTTGTCGTTAAGCGCCTGGTGAAAGTTCTTAACCACCATGTACTGAGCGTGTGCGGTGCTAAGGCGCCAGAAGTCAACGAGCAAACTGTTCCAGGATTGCTTGTCCTCATCTCTGTGGCGAAGAGCCTCGAAAGTGAGGAACGAGACACGCCAGGCAAATGCTGAGACCAGGTCCTCGTCAGAGCCTAGCACGTCGAAAGCCGCACCGATGTCGCGGCGGCGCAGGAACTCGGTAAGGATTCTTGTGGTATCGTTGTTTCCAGGCTTACCCTTGAGTACCGCACGTGCTGACTTCAGCAAGTAACGAGACACTTGCTGCGTGAGCATGTAGTTGTCGCCCTCCCAGGTCAGTGTTGGGAGATAGTCAGCGTACCAGCTGCCGATGCCGCTGAAAGATGAGTAGCCGTGACCGCCACAGGCACGACGGCAGACTTCGAGGCCCTCGCCCGCAACGGTTGAGCCATATGCCTTCAGGGCACAAGATGTGGCATGCAGGTCGGCAAGCAAATCCGTTCCGGGGTTCAGCTCTTCAGGGCCCGGGTTGCGGGTAGAATCGCTGAGCTTGCCGGCATCGGCCTTCATGCGCTTCTGGTTTTCGTTGTACAAGTTGATCATACCGCGACCGGTGAAGTGCAGCGCGAATGTCGCGGCGAGAAGTGGCAGCAGTCGGATCTGTACCATGGTGTAGTTGAGGACCTGGTTCTCACCAGGTTCGTTCGCAGGTGCGTCTCGGTCTTGGAATTGCCGGCGAACAGCACAGTAGCGGGTGGCAATGGTAACGCCTTTAGCCAGAACGGAGCCTGCTTGGAGAACGATGTTCGAGCGCACCCAAGTGAGAGTGCCATAAACCAGAGATGGGTTCGCGGGCCTACTGTACTTGCTTGTCTGCGGGTCGACGGACGAGAAGCGGGCAAGCATGTGGTTGTGTGGGATCTTGACGTTGTTCAGCAACAGAAATCCATTATCCATTGTGTTGTAGCCAAACTTGGGGCCGATATCGCCGACGTGCACATTCGGTAGAGGCTCGTGGCTGTTCTTGTCCCTAATAGGAACAACGAATGGGTGAGGGCCGAGGGCTTTGCCGTTGATGATTAGCTGGGCCATGACCACAGCGTGGGTAGCCATCTTTCCGAGAGAGCCAATCCACCATTTGGAGGCTGTCAGGTGGGGGGAATGCATGACAAAGGTCTTGTCGGCAGGGTCCCATGTTGCCGTTGTCTCCAAGCCGCGGACGTTGGAGCCATGGCCGAGCTCGGTCTGAGCATAGCATCCGATGATCTCGTAGTTTTCGGCAGGCTCGAGGAAAATCTTGTGCTGCTCCGGAGTACCCTGCTCGCGGAGGGTAACGAGGAACATGCTGGCGTGCAGGCCATAAGGCGTGGGCTCGCTGATGAGCTCATTGGCAACCTGGTATTCGTCGCGGGACCAGTTGTGCTGCTTGTTCAATTGGAATAGCCTCTTTCCTCTTGCCAGCGAAGCCTCAATGCGGCTCTCGCGGCCTCGGAAGTAGTTTTGCGTCTTGTCGAAAACGGGATCGGCCTTGAGGATGTTCAGTATCCTCTCGTTACGCTCGAGAGCCTCGTTGGTGAACATGAAAGTGGCGAGCTGGTCGACATTGAGGTTGGACTTTGCCCTCTCCTGAGCCAGGAGCTCTGTGCCCTGGGGCCCAGAGGGCTGGAGCTTCTTGACCCAATCCGGGGTATTCGGCATGGTGATTGAGTGATTGCGGAGGCTGTGGAGTGTGGGATGAAGACTGCAGGAACTGTCTGGGGAAACGGAGGTCTCAGAATGGCACCGATAAGATTTTGTAGAAATCCCGTCCTCGGCCGTGCCGGCTACTCGTGAAGTCTAATGCTCATCAGGGGGCGTCTTCCGTCTCTCGGAGTGTTCTCATGACGCGCGCGCGCGAGAAGTGCCTCGGCTATTACTGTTTCGAGTTAGACCCAGTCCTCGACTTGACACGTAGACCGACAAGAGATCCGGGGTTACAGCAGACTGACCCGCTCAAGCTCGCGGCGCATCTCCCGATCATCGGACATGCTCGGTACTACGCTACGAGCCGAGGTGGTATTGCCGTCTTATTGCAACATCCGGGACTTCGGTCACGACACCGCCGGATTGACACGGCCCAGCTGTTGACTCACGGCCTGAGTCACGGACGGGGTTGGATCACATGTATATTTACCATGGCACCGTTCCGAACTCAATCGCATGTTCTGGACGCGTTTTTGCAGCTTTGCAGCCCTATGACTTGTTTTTCGTGTGTTTCGCGCGATTGCCAAGATGACCTCGGCGTATTCACCAGACCAGGTCAGTCTTTACTTAGAATGCATTGGCATTCCTGAACGATGCCGCCATGAACCGCCTACTCTGGAGTTTTTGACGATGCTTCACATCCACACAATCTCAACGTTACCTTACGAAAACCTGTCTCTGCATTACAACCCATCACACAACATCAGTCTCGATCCTCAGTACCTGTTCAGGAAAATGGTCACCGACAAGCGCGGACGCGGTGGGTTTTGCATGGAAATCGCGATTTTATACAACCATATCCTGCGGGCTCTGGGCTTTGATGCGTACACCGCTGGTGTCAGAACTCGACCACGCATTGAGGGCGTGCCAAAGGGCGACTTCCCAGGCTGGTAAGGCACTTAATTCCCCATTCATCATATCCGGTCCATGTCCGGTACCAATTCTACCTCCCTCTGACACCCCGCCTCCTCAGGGGTCATATTGTGAACATTGTGACATTCGCAGATGGTTCTAAATACCATTCAGACGTTGCGTTTGGCGGCGACGGTGCAACAAAGCCAATGCCATTGGTTGAAGGCCTTGTTCACAACAATCTCGGAACGCAACAAATACGTCTTGCGAAGGATTGGCTACCTACGCAAGCGCATCGAGTAGACTCCAGCAAACAGTGGATCTACCAATACCGTAACAATCCTTCTCAGCCGTGGAACTCGTTTTATGCCTTTGCGGAAATCGAATTTCTACAGCCTGACTGGGGCGTCGTCAATCACTGGATGAGCACACATCCCGACAGTAACCAGGTCCGCAACCTCCTCGTCGTGAAGTTTCTGCGGCGAACAATTGCTTCCAGCGATAGCAACGAGCAGGAGATCTACGGCAAGAAAATGTTGGTCAATGGTACTGTGAAGCAGAATATGGGCGGCAAAACGGAGTTTGTGAAAGCATGCGACACGGAGGAAAGTCGTCTTGAGTCACTCGAGAATGTATTCAGCATCATACTATCGCAGACCGAAAAGGATGGCATCCTAACGTCACCTTTGAGACTCGGGTGAGTACTCTTTTGACCTATTCAACTTTCCTGCAGACGCTATTAAACGCCTCCCTCTTATTTCCCATCACGTCAGTCAACGCCCTGGTCTTTTGGCTCTCCGGGATGACACGCAACAAATAATATTGCAAGTCATGGAGCCAGTAGGATCTCAATTCCCGCCACCCTTTGGCAATGGCGCCGTTAACCCAACTCAGTATTAGCCTTCCAAAGGTGCTGGAGTCTGGACACCCCTTCGTTGCCCATAACGAAGTCCCTTGACTCTTCACATCCCCAGGCACAGTACACAAGCAATGCATGTTCTGAGTCTCGCGTTCGGCCTCTGACTGCGAGTGTGCGGAAACGGTGCGAAATCAGGTTCGAACCCACGTTGTTGACAAGAGAAGAGAGCCGCAACTCTCTGTTTGTAATGGTGTTCTCGATGGCGGCTCTGATCTCCTTTGGTGTTGCAAACCTTGCGTCCAAGATGATCGTCGAGACATGGTCGTTTCTTGCCAGTATCCTGGGCCTTGCAGCGGACGTCGCTACCTCATCTGCAAGATGGCCAAGGAGGAACACACCAAACCCATTACTCAAGAGTTCCTCTGCGATGCCATAACCAATTCCTGCACTTGCGCCCGTCACAAGTGCGTAAGCGGGCTTCAAACCCGGGCGCTTGTAGGATGATAGAGGCTGTGATGGTGCAGCAGTGTGAAATTGGATATTGTCAAAAAGTTGGATTCACAAACGTGCCGTGCTCATGCATCCTATGGCCACAAAGGCCCAAAGCCATTTTGGGGTCTCCAGCTCGGTCAACTTCTTGAGATAACTTGCATTCATCTCCATGGCAAATTTGAGCAGCATTATGGGTGTAGTGAGGATCAAATAGAGTAAAAAGGGGGGTTTCCTGTCAAGCAGATTGGAAAAGGTCGTGAGGGTTTGAAAGGTGTCAGATAAGGCTATCCGAATATGGATATGTCAGGCACAAGGATTGCATATCCAAAGTATGCATATAACACCTATATCTCCGAATATTCCGATGTCGGATTCCAGCGAGAACACACCGACTTTTTCTATCATCATCATC